TCAGATATAGTTATTTAGGTAACTTGATTTAACTTTAAAAGAAGATATCAGAATATACTTTTTAAGAACTATTCTTAAAATAGTTCTTAAAGATATCAGTGTTTAACTTTTTAAGAACTATTCTTTGATCTATTATATGCCATCAGAAGATGAGATTGGAACCTGATATAAGCAAATAATATTTCTGTTCGAATAAAAAGTGACTAGTGGCCTGGTAGAGTGGAGTCTTGGGTTATCCACCAGGAGTAGAGGGACCCTTGATTGGGGAGGGTCATGTGTTTTCCTTACTCTGTGTGATGAAGTCCTCTTGCTTTTGAGAATATGATTGCCAACACTGGAAGGATGAATGGCTTCTTTTACTGAAGGTAGCTAGGGCTGACTTTCTGCAAGGCACTCACTCCACAGGGAAAGAGCTCTTTTATTTTGCTTACTAATAAGACCAGAACTGGACTAGAAACTTAGCCTCATAGGTTGCTCCGAATGATGGCACTTCAGTAAACACTTGTTGAACTGTACAATTGAACTTGACCTACACCTCCAGACTCTTTAGAAATCGTCAGGCCTTCCTCTTCTATTAGGGTTTTAAGTTAACAATCTGGTTCACGTGAGTCTTACCCCTTTTCCTTTTCCCCATCTATCTCCCTGGAGAAGTCATGATCAGGAAGTCATTCAGAGAAACAATGAATTCACAGAGTACTATGCACTGTCAGGTACCCATTGCCATGTAATGGAGGACCCCAAAACCAGGTGACTCAGGACACTGTCTTTTTCTGAATTTACTGGAGGGTGGTTCTCCTGAAGCTGCTGATGTGCTTATGTTCTTAGCTCTCATTTATTGACTTACATCAGCACACTAGGTAAACACAGTTGTAGAGCCAATTCAGGAAAAAAATCGGGTGCTACACATTATAATACACTTCAGTAATTCAGTTCAATTTGATTTGTCATTTTATTTGTAAACCTTAAAGCCATGTAACCCTTGAAGCATTTATTTGGAAATCATTTTGTCTGTCTTGTTTCTCTAAATAAGACTGGAACTGCTGTTTCAATTAAAATATAGGGTGAATTATGTGTTACAGGAAAGGATGTTATATGACTTGGAAATTCAGTATGATACAGATGTCTTCCAATTTCACATTGCTTTGATTCATAATACCATTAATGTATTGAAATGTAGTGTATGTTAGGGCCTTAATATGGTGTTCATAATTATAGGTAATTGGTATAACAAATTAGCATCTGTATATTTTCAGGTATAATTTATAACTCACTTAAAGATATAATTGAGCCATTTCAATAAGACATTTGAGAACTTTATCACATCTTAAAGAATGCATATTTAGGATAAATATATAAAATATATCTTCTGAAGGTAATTTAATCTTGAAACAGAGCATTGAATTGTCATTGGGTGTCCACTTTGATGTTTAATTTCTTTTTCAAAATTTATTACTGTTCAACTAGAAAAATAAACACGCTAGATGGTCAAGATTCAGGGTCATGAAATTTATATGCATCCTGGTATCTACACAGTATCTCTGAGAGTTCTCCTTTCCCTCACTTCCAGCAAGATTCCATACAGTGGGTTTATGATAGTCTTGAAAGTGCTCATGAAGACCTCCAGAAGTGCCCCTCGAAGCCTACTGGAGACGAGGCTGGGGATGCTTTTGACTGCAAAGTAGAAGGTATGTTGCTTTTTTCTCTCCTCCCATGCTTACACTATTCTTTTCCATAGTACCATGTTTGCTCCCAAGTACTGAGGTCTTATATTTTTAGGCTGTGGCTTGTTGCTAAATTCATATGTCGTTGCAGGCATATAAGTAGTAATAGATAGTGGTTGACATATGATGCCTTTTTTTTTTTTTTTTTTTCTTTTTTTTTTTTTTTTTTTTTTTTTTTTTTTTGAGGTAGGGCTTAGCTTACTATAGGGCCCAGCCTGGTCCAGATTATGTGATGGTCTTCCTGCCTTTGCCTTCTAAGTGATGAGATTACAGCTGAGTATCACACCTGTAGGGGAAGCTGTAGCCACGCCTACTTAGGGGCTGGCTACAGCTTCTCCTACACATACCCTTTGCAACAGGCCCCTTTGCAGGTTTTTCCTAGATTTTCTCATTTAGTTGTAAAAACAGAAATTGAGCCCATTTAGGTCAAGGGGTCTAGTATGTTAGTTAAGTCACAGGGGCAGGAGGGTGGATCCAACCCAGGATTTCCCTCTTGGAGATGAATGTCATTTAGACATTTCTGCTTCTATGGGGCTCACCATAGTAAACTTCCTTGGAAGCTAGGCAGAAATGCAGACTCTTTACCTCTTCCATCCCAGCTGGGTCCCCATTTTCATAAGATCTGCTTCACATGGTCATGTACATACAAGAAGTCCTAGTGTTGAGATAGTGTGTAGCTCCTTTAAAAATACACCAAATACAAAAGAT